AATCCTTTTTCTCCGGGTGGTCCACGTGGCCCCACAGCTCCGGGTGGTCCATCGAACCCACGTGGTCCTGGACCTCCAGGAAATCCAGTCAAGCCAGGTTCACCCTTTGTACCTTTTTCTCCTGGTAAACCTTCTGGACCTGGAATACCAGGTAATCCTGGACCTCCTTGTGGACCTATTGGTCCTCTTGGTCCTGGATCTCCTGGGAAACCGTCTGCTCCACGCGGCCCAGTAGGTCCTGGAAAACCACGCGGTCCTTTCGGACCTGGTGGTCCCGGTCTTCCTTTACCTCCCTACAATAATGCACAATAAAACATAACTTTAGTTTTAAAATGAAAGTTATACTAAATGAACGTTGTGTGTTCAGTAATGTACAGTAATGTTACTGTACTTAATGTTCGTGCACCTACAAAAGTATCATAGAAAAGTATCATAAAAAAGTATCATAGAATTGATAATTATACAAAAATATTTTAATGATATATATTAATTACAACAAACAGTATACTTACTCCCGGCGGTCCAGGAGGTCCTCGTAAACCTGGAACACCCGATGGTCCATCTCGACCGGGTTCTCCTTTTTTCCAGGTCGTCCAGCAAGTCCTTCTAATCCATCAATACCACGATCACCTTTTCGTCCAGGAGGTCCAGGAGGTCCAGAAAAACCATCTCTACCCTGGTATCAAAAAAATAACAAATAATTTTTATAAAATTTATTAAAACTATTAATTTATTAATATTTCTATTAATTAATTTAATATTTCTGTTATAATATTATAAAAAGCTTATATATCAATAGACTTACACGAATGCCTGGAGCTCCTGGGAGACCTTTTTCTCCTTTTTGACCTGGTCCTCCATGTATACCATGATCACCTATGACTCCTGGTTCTCCCTTTTGTCCTTCTGGTCCCATTTCACCCTAAATGTTCTTCCAGTTAGAATATATTATAATACAAAAAAATTTGATAATATTTCCTCACATACTTTGTCTCCTCTTGGGCCTGGATCTCCAGGCGGACCGATCACTTTTACGGCTCCTTGAAATGGCAGCCGATCAGATACCGAAATACCCGGAGGTCCTGCTTCACCTTTATAACCTTTATCTCCCTTTAATCCTTCAAATCCAAGACCCATATTTCCTTTCTCTCCTTTTGGACCCGGTATTCCAGGAGCACCCTGAATTTATATTTATTATCGTATCATCTTGAGATATTTTAAAATGAAAATTATATTTTTAATAGATTTAATTTTACTCTTAATAAATTTAAAATTGCACTTTAATATAGATTAAGTGATATTTACATAGGGACCTCGTTCACCCTTCGGGCCAGATGGACCTCGCTGTCCCTGAAAACCAGGAGGACCGGGAGGTCCTCTTACACCATCCAAACCAGGTTCGCCTTTTTGACCTAATGGGAACTTACCAGCATATGCTGGCTGACCTTTTTCTCCCTTGGGTCCAGGTATACCTGGTAAACCACGAGGTCCTGGTGCTCCAGGGACACCATCACGTCCACGTTCACCCTAGAAAAATATAACAAGATTGTAATATTAATATAAAAAGAAATATTTTATTTTTGTTTTTTCACAAATTTTTATTCTGAATTTTTTTGAATTCTATTAGATATATATTATTATAAAGTTAAAATAATAAAATACGCATATATTAATATAAATTGTAATATTATATTATAAAAAATTTAATCACTTTTATTATATAATTCTAAGCTTGAATTATTTGATATGTTCTTTAAATATTTTATAACTTTTATATTTTTATATTTAAAGAAAACTATAGAATTTGATAAAACAACAAATAAAATTAAGCAACTTAAACAATTATTAAGATTTTTACGTTTTACAATATTACTTACATCTGTTCCGTTGCAACCGTCACGACCAGGAAAACCTGGAGGACCCGGGGGTCCTTGTACTCCAGGCACACCATTTATGCCAGGAAATCCAGGCATGCCCATTTTTCCCTTTAATAATATGAAATCATTTGTTGAAAAAAAAATTCAGAAATAAAGTTATATCATACTAAAGATACTTACTCTATCACCTTTCGCACCATGCGGACCTTGTGGCCCAGGATCTCCTTTCTCACCTTTAGGTCCTAAAAGACCTTCTGCTCCTGGAAACCCTCGTTGTCCCTTAGGACCTTGCGGTCCGATTATTCCTGGTGGTCCCTGAATAAGAATATTATAATAAATTAGACTATCAATATTTTAAAAAAACTCTAAAAATCACGTAATAAAAAAAACATATAATAAAAAATATAAAAAATATATTTTATTAATTATCAAGATATAGATTTTTAAAATCTACAATTAACAAAACATTTCTTTAAACTTGCGTAAATTATATATAGAATCTATCTTATTTCTATAATCTTCGTTCTATTTTATAAATAAAAATGCTCTTGTGTGAAACAACTATGCAATTTCATCTATTAAATTTATAATTGAATATTTTAACTGTCATTTTAACATCCTCAATATTGTATCGTCAATCCTCGAAAACCAACCCGCGATCCCTTCTCGGCGAAACACTTGGGCACACAGCATCCTGATCCGGTGCAATTTCGCGGTGCTCCGGGCATAGGTACCACTTGGTAATTGCTCGGATAATTTTCATTATCTCCGGAGGCACCGTAACCCCCATAACCACCGTAACCACGTCCACGATCGCCGTCATCGCTTCCACGACCACGACCGTAAGCATCTTCGGTTCCACGACCACGACCGTAAGCATCTTCGGTTCCACGACCACGACCGTAAGCATCTTCGGTTCCACGACCACGACCGTATGCATCTTCGGTTCCACGACCACGACCGTATGCATCTTCGGTTCCATGACTACCACCGCTACCACGACTATAGGGATCTCCACGACCACCACCGTAAGCGGTTCCGCTTCCATGTCCATAGGCTGTTCCTCCCGTGCCGTAACTACTACCTCCTCCATAACTACTATCATAAGGATCGCTAGAATCGGAACCTGCTTGACCATAAGAATCTCGTTCGTTTTCACCAGCACCTAAAAATAAAATAATAAATAGTTGTGATCGATTAAAATTATCCAAAATGTGTTTGTTTAAAAAATTGCTTCTGTAATGTAAGTAGATTTTTAATAATATTAAATTTTTGAAGTCATATTTCAAAATTATTATCTTTAAATACATCAGAAACTAACAAAGATGTGAGAAGGAAGATTTCTATTAAAAAAACTGAATTTCTAATGTTTTTAGAGCAAAGTGCTCTATGTTAAGTCTTTAATAATATTATACGATTTGCATCGTATTTCTAATTTTATTAACTTCCAAATTTAAAATAAGCACTATCGATTATAATCGCACTATCCGTTATAATTTGCGAAGTCAAGAATAATTACCGCTATATGTACCCTCCAAATGACCATTGAGAATTTCGGATCCTGACGCGCCGCCACTGTCAGGATATCTGTCGAAGCCATTATATGTTCGGTCGGGATAAGAAGGATCCGGGTAAACTTGATTGTGAATATCGGTCCTATTTCTAAGAAACCAATGCCGAGTTCTCTCATCCGGACTATAATGACCAGCTGTGAAACTGTCGTTCCGCCTTTCTTCCTCGTATTCTAGACATGCCAATCAGTAAACATAATATCGGAATTCCTAATGATAATTTCCGAATTTACTCCTATTATGAATACTACCAAATTTTAGGGAACGAAAGAATTTTCGTCGTTGCACGCGACGAAAATTGATAGCTCGCTCGAAGACGAATCGTCTGCACGAAACGATATTAGAGCGTACAGTATTTCGTTTTTTTAATATATCTCAATACAGAAATTACAAATATATAAAATATATGATTAACTATCTTATTATATAAAATATCTTCTTCTTATAGAAAATACTAAATTAACTAAATAAACATGTTCCTTATATAAAAAATTTTTTTTTTAAATAGAGTTTTCTACGAAACAGAAAATTAATATGAATTTTCATTGTTTCAAATTTCAAATTTCAAATTTCAAAGTTCAAATTTCAAGTTTCAAATTTCAAAGTTCAAATTTCAAGTTTCAAATTTTATTGCAAAATTATGGCAGTATCGTCATTCCTAGTAAATCCTAGTTTTTACATTGCCAGATGACATAAGGATGCTAGATGGATTAGGAAAAGAAGGATGTAATTATCGTACTTCCTCCTATTTCTCACATAAATCATAGCAGCGAAAAGCATGAGGCGGCATGTTGTCCAAGTACCTTCGTTGTCCGTGATGAACCCTTTGCTTAAATATCTCCATCCCGAACTGTCATAGTCGTCATCGCTACCGTTTGTAGGCTTTCCAATATCCCCTCGTTCCAATGGCACGACCGGCGGTGGTCGTCCTGTGTAATTATATTGCTAAAACAAATATTCTGGAATGAAAAGCTCTGTAAATGGAATCGGAAAAGTATGAAGCACCGGTGCGATCAATAAAAACGCAATATCAGCCGCATTTATTCTAAAAGTGCAGATAAAAGAATTATCAATCATTATTTATCAAATTTATAGAACTATATTCGGGCAATAATAACCATGATTAATGGTATGATTGAGAAAAACACGAAGAGAAAATCGAAACTTGAAAAATCTATTGTTTAAAATATTGCGTTATAAAACATAATATGACTGGATGCAATCAACACTTCTAATTTAATGATTATTTCTTTTTTATATTTTCTGACCACTAATGCAGAATTGCATTAGTGGTCAGAAAATATAACAAAGAAATCAATAAATCTCAAAAATATCAAAATTGAGTTTTATTGGGAATAGAATCGATTATAAAATACTTTGTTTTGTTGAAATAAATTTATTTTATAATTTTTAATGTATGTAAAAGATATTTTTATGAAGAAACAATAGAAAAGTAACATTTTTAAATTATAATTTAAAAATTATTGAAAAATCGTTGGAAAAATTAATCTAATATGATTTGTACATATTAGATTACATGTGATTATTCAATATATCGTGATATATCTCTCAAATTTCACGTCCAGAATCAATTTCAAGTTAATTAAAGAATCTTATTACGCGAAAAAAATTAATGTATATTTTAATTTATTTCTATATGATAATTCAAAATATTTTGAGTTTAATATTAATTATTAGCTTAGACTTAATATAGAAACTGTATAAATTTAAATTGTTTCTTCAACATCGCTCGTAAAATTAATAGATGAAAAGCACGTCTTTAATTTGCAGAAGATTTGCAAGTGAGATTGCTTCCATATAACGATAAGTTGACCCGTAGCCCCGCATGTGCCCATTAAATGGTATACTTCTTAGATTTATAGGTATGCGTTCCATGACACAAGCGGCGCGGCCGTAAATTTAACGAGCTCGCATTTCGTGTGGCCAAGATTTACGCTTTATCCACCGAGTGCATCGTTCTTACAACCTCATGGCAAACGATATGATGATACAAAAAGAGCTGTTTTATCGACCGATTATATGAGCTTGAAGAGGAGATAAAAGTACCATAGCGTTCATAGTGGTCACTCCTAATGTCTTCACCGTGTCTTTTTCCTTTCGCTTCTTAATCTTGGTGGTCATTTTTATTTGGATTAATTATGTTATCAAATCGGAACTTTGATGGAAATATTATTTTACAACAGAAAAATGTAATGTTAGCACTCAATCTTAACAATTCTACGGATAACTGATAATTTTATAAATGATAGAAGAAGATTAATAAAGTTGTTCTAGCGAAACTGTAATTAGATTTCTAAATTGTGATTACAACGTTGTTGTTGTTTCTTGATATCTTATGTAATTTCAAAGATTACATGTGCAGAAAATTATCTATAAAGCAGATAAAAGTTATATCTTGTTATTTTTAATTATACATAATATTACTTTAGTATATGTGATTTAATTAATATTAGACACAGTTTGAAAACACGTATAATTTATCAAATAAAATAATAAAATTTAGTTAAATTTATAAAAATATGATAAATATAATTTATACCAATATATTTATTAGCTTTAATGCATACGTTATTAATTATTTTTAGTTTTTTATAATGTATTAATATTTCAACATGGACGATATTTTAGCGTTGTAAAAGCAGAATAATTGAATTAAAAGTAATATATAACATAATAAAAATTACTTTGTGAGGAAAAATTATATATTATACATTATCAGCGTAAATTTATTAATATATACTTATATTTAATGCAAAGACAACATGAATGTAAAAGCATCGTTTCGTGGTGACGGGTGGCAGCGAGCGCGTACAGATTTTGCAGTGAGTGCATCATCGTTTTCCTAGAAAGTCATTGTCTTGCCCTCGTTTTCACGTTTTTGTCCTTTTTTTGTATTCCCGGGGACGGCACGCGCTGACAGGAAGTGCGGGGAGATAGTCGGTTATCGTTCCGAGATGACGTACCGCCCTCGTCTGTACCACACATGCACCACGTACGGCGATAGAGAGAAAATGACGATAGTGTCCTTTTAAAATTTCATTCATCGACATGCAATCATAAAACTTGAAAGAACGACCAGTTTCTATATTTGAGTTTTAGTGATTTCTTGCGTCTACGTTTCGCGTAGACGCAAGAAATCACTAAAACTCAAATATAATGACAGATCGCAGGTATGAGCGGGGATTTTCTATCGAATTAGATCAGAATGTGTTATAGGAAGTGCAATTAACACGATCGTTCTCTCTCATTTATCTTTCAAATTCTGTCAAAATTTCTAAAATTCAAGATTTATTTTGAATTTTAGAAATTACAAAATAAATCTTGCAATCGCAAATTTCAAAAGAGAAAATTTTGAAATTATAGATGTTTGTTATTGAAAATGAAATGAATATTTGAAGAAAGAAGAGAGAAATTTTATAATCAGAAGAACAGTCAATGATTAAAAGAAATCGATTCCATTTCGTAAAAAAATTATCGAAAGTTGCCGAGTGTCGTAAATTAGGATTGTTCCTTCCTTCAAATTATCTCATGTTATCATAGGTTAATCTATTCACTGAACATTAATTCTAGATCTAATTTCGTTTCAAGTGGACGTGATCGGAGAAATCCGATAATACAGAGATACTCGTAAATCGCGCAAACAGTTCAAAGCAT